TTGATATTTACCATTACATATATGTTTTATATTTCAATTAACTAGAAAATTTTACCTAGAATAAACTATTTTTTAAAAAAAAATAGCTAAAAAAAAATTATTCTAACTAATCTCAGCGAAGCAATGGAACCGAACCAATCTCGAATCCTTGTGATTTTGGTAAGAAAAGAGAGAGTTTCTGACAATGGGTTTTATTGATATCATCTCGGGCAAGCTCCAATTTTAACATTTGTTTTCGACATTCTTCTTTTGATTTTGTGTCATTTTGGGAAATTTGAAAGAAAAAAGAGATTTTTTGACAATGGGTTTTATGAATATCATCTCGGGCAAGCTCCAAATTTGCTGATTCTAAGAGGTTTCCAAACATATCAGCAAGTTGGCTTAATTGTAGATTAAGGTGGATTCTCGTTTTCAGAGTAATTCTTGAACTTGCGAGCCTAGGTTGAGAATTGGTGTTACGTATTCTGTTTATGTCCATTCCATTCGTCCCTTTTGTCATTGATGATCTTTTGTCTGCTTTGGGAGATTAAAAGATTCCATGGGAAGGAAGGAGGACACTATAGCTTTCCATGTTGATCCTTCAATGGATTTGGCACTACAGGCAAGTCGTACTCAGCTCCATAAATCTTCTTCTTATCCCGAGCATTTTGAGACTGTGTAATATTGATGCTTGCTAGGTCTTTCCTCTTCATGTATGCTGATGCTATTATAGTAATTGGCACTTCATTGGCGTTCTGACTTTCTCTCAAGCTTTACTTATCTCCCAACTCCAACCCAAAACAAATACACGCCGTTCAGAGATGCTGTAATAGTGACTGAAGAAATTATTTTGCAGGAATTGGCCAAACAAAATATTCCCTTTATGTGAATGTTTTCTGCTCATTGACCATTCTGTGGAGTCAAGCTCGCAGTTCAAGAACGGGCTAGTTAAGCATGCATTTGCCGCTGCTGACAGTACGAATGCAGTGAGGTCTTTGTTAGAGAAAATGACCGAGTTGATTAAATACCTGAGCATATTGGAAAGGTTGGTTTCCCATGCCTCTTTCTTTCTTGCTCATAACTTGATTAATAGCAAGAAAAAGTTGTGCTTGAGTCTCTGCCCTTTCTCCTTTGTTATTGTTTTTGGGAATTCTCAGATAATCTAAGTCCAACATGCATGTGGCTATATTTTTAATTTGTTTGTAAGGACTGATAATACTGTTGGTTACATAGCTCATTGTATTCTCAGATGTGTCAACTGACTTGGATTAGTGTTTAACTAAGGTGGGTCTATGAAGGGACCATTGATGATCCGTATGGGGATTTTTTTGCCAGTATAGAGCTTGCGAGTCTCATCAAGGATAAGGTAATAAATTTTGGGTTATAATGACTGCTTCTTTGACGTCATTCCTCGTAAACACCTGCCTTGACCATAATCAGTATATGATTCAGTATGACCTCATTGGACGGCTTCGATCTAAAATACAATTCTAAAGTTTCTGACTTTGGACTTGCGAAACTGCTTGGCGCTGATAAGAGTTGCTTTCAGCTATGTAGCTCCAGAGTATGCGAATTCCGGGCTTCTGAATGAGAAAAGCGATGTCTACAGCTTCGGCCCGGGGTTGTACTCTTGGAAGCCGATGAGCTTCTCAGCATGTGTATCAGACAATGTCCAAGACGTGTGTGGGTGACCTTTTTTGGCGCTAAGGTTTTGTTTCTTTTTGCTCTTCTGGTCATTTTTTGTTTTTCTTCACATTTTGAATTCATATTTTACTGATATGGCTACTCTCATAGGTCTGATGGGAATTGGAAGTGTTGGTGGACAACAGATTTCTCAAGGCTCACAACAGAATCCTACAAGCAACATCTCAAGTACAATGGCACTTCTTGATTCATCTCAGAAAGTAAGAATTTGTTTGCACATAGCACTTGTAGGTAGAAGAATATTAGATGGGTTTTTTCTTAGTAGCGGGCAGAGTTGAGGTAGTAGCAAATGATTTTTTGTATCACGATTGCTGGGAGGTTTCAGATTGTTTTTTATCTCCGCGGGTTCGTAATGGTCAGTTTCTATCATAGTAAATCTTGTCACTTGGACTTTTGTTGAACTTACTTTTTCATGCTGCTTGATGCTACCAAAATATATATCCATCCATTGACACATT